TTATCTATCTATCTGTCACAATATAATTTCTATCTATCTTAATATAGTTTCTATCTATCTATCTATCTATCTATCTATCTATCTATCTATCTATCTATCACAATATAATTTCTATCTATCTATCTTAATATAGTTTTTATCTATCTATCTATCTATCTATCTATCTATCTATCTATCTATCTATCTATCACAATATACTTTCTATCTATCTGTCTATTACAATCTGCTTTCTATCTATGTATCTATAGATAAATTTGGTTAAACTTTAACATACCATTTCTTACCCCAGTAAAAAAGAATATAGGTAATTTTTCTTTAGATCAACTGGGATTGTCACAAAGAATCCCGTTCATCAAAATGAATGACTTGTTAATTTAATGCCACCAAAAGAAGCAGCCATATTTTATCTTAGGAGACATTTTTGGCTTCCATCAGTATGGCTGATGCTAACCTCCACGAGAGTGAGTTATTGCGGCATCTCGGGATGACATTTTCCACTGCCCTGAAGTGGAAAGATTATATTGAATCAATTACTAGGTATATATTTATCCTAAAGGTTTTTTTCTGCATCTTGCTTATAGAAAAATTTATTAAAAATAAAAATACTCCTTGAAAATAACTAAAAGTTTAACGAAAAGCGTTCAGATGCAGCAAAACTTTGCACAATTTTTACATTCATTAAGTTCAGAAAAGAAGACATTCACACGTATGCAAGAAAAACATAATAAAAACCTAAATAAATTACCTTGTCAGTATTGTTCCAAGGAACGTGATTATCTATCTATCTATCTATCTATCTATCTATCTATCTATCTATCTATTCCAGTCTTCTCATATTTATCTCAATCTGGTGATATCTATCTATCTATCTATCTATCTATCTATCTATCTATCTATCTATCTATTTATCCCAGTCATCTCATATCTATCTATCTATCTATCTATCTATCTATCTATCTATCTATCTATCTATCTATCTATCTATCTATTCCAGTCTTCTCATATCTATCTATCTATCTATCTATCTATCTATCTATCTATCTATGTTCATATATATTACTTCTACAGTTTTTATCCGGTGCTTGCTGCTAGAAAAATCTATTAAAATCCCCCAAAATTGCAAAGACTTAAATGCAGGCATACATTCCTTTATCAGAACGTTGTTGCATTCAAGTTTTCTTGTCAAGATTCCTATTGGAATAAGTATCGACAAATACAGATCAATGTTAACGTATATACGCAAGAAAGAATATACAGGAAGATATTTCCTGCTGATAAATCTCGAAGAGTATACTCCAGCTGATGAAACTGGCCATGTAACACAAGTCTAACCTTGTGTACAATGATATATTGTACACGTGAAAAGCAAGTTTATATATTCTCGATCTATTAATAGTAATACTTTTGAGAGGTACAGAATGGGAGATCTCCATGCACACAAAGCATAAGATAGGAAAAAATATTTATATATTTTTACCAATAATAATAATAATAATAATAATAATGATAATAATAAGGACCTTGAAATCGAATTCCCAAAAACGTTGCACATGAGAACATCAAAAATCCTGTTGTAGCTGGAGCCCTCAGATTGGGTGGAAAAAATTCTAGTAGAAACATTGAAGGGATCCCTGGAAGCCCATGACTTAAAGAAATACAAAAAATAATGTTCTCACGAGTACAGCCCACAACTTACGAAGGGCTTTATCTTTAAAAATATGTGTATTTTTTTAATTGGTGAGTGGAAAATGTCATGATGCCATTTCTAACCTTAAGTCTCTGGGCGTGACCCCGAAAGAAATGGGTACACACTAGAAATCAAAAGAAATAATAATAATAAGACGATATGAAGTTTTGTAGGTCCTATTGACAAAATAAGATATTTCAAACAGACCCCAAAAGGTTTTACGGGGGAATTGGAAAAGCAGTTATAGAACCATAATCTACTGGAGAAGTGCAAACATTTTGGGAGAATATTTGAAGCAACACAAAGGAAGATAATCCTAGTGCAGAGTGGATCAACTGAGATTAAGAAAGAATGAAGGATAATCCTGTGCAAGCATGGAAAAATATAACCAAGAATAATGTTACGCAATCTCTAAAGAATCCCCAAAATGGAAATCCCCAGGTAATGACACTTTGGTTGTTCCTGTGGAGCAATACAGTTTCAACGTCCTTAATTGGACCGTAGTTGAGATTAAGCGAATGGATGTCAAAACGAGAGTGTTTCTCAATTGCCATCGCATCCTAAGGCTGATGTTGATTGTTTGTAGGTGGCCAGATCCAAAGTAGGCAGAGGATTAGTTCAACTAGATCTGTCTTACAAAACCAACCGGTCTTCAAAGATAATTGAAAACTGCAGAAGACTGGATGATGATCTGTGTCAAAGAACATGAAAGAAATAAGAACATTTATTCAGTAATAATGTGGGTCATCAAATTCCAAAGAGAATTTCAAGTGAGTGAAGAAGGGCAAGTAAGCCATTAAACAACGACTGCAACAGCAAAGAATCTAAAAAAAAGAAAGCAAAAACAATGTACCAAATGCATAAACGATGGCAAGATAAGCCTCTTTATGGTCAATATTTCGCCCGTACCAAACAAGTTGATGTGGACCAACCCCGTACCTTTCATGGGTTACGTAGTGCAGGATTAAAGGATTAAACTGCATGTTTTATTCTTGCTGCAAAGGACGAATGCTTGCTAATTAGAAATTACTAAGGACACATACTGAAAAATTGTGTTAACCCCAAATGCAGATTCTGTGTTAAATATGCAGAAACAATTGACGATCTTGAATCAGGTTGCACAGTGTTATTGCGTACATACTATAAAACTAAGCATGATAGAGTGGGCCAATATCTGCACTGGAAAATATGCAACTTTTACAAGAAAGAAACTGTAAGAAACTGATAGGAACATCACCCAAACCCATTTGAAGAGAGAGGACTTGTAACTATTTTTATGGTACTTTACATAGAGACACAGACAGAACAATGAATACCAATCCTCTAGACATCGTGATCAAAAACCACAAAACATAATGTACTTTCTTATTAACAGAGAGAGTGCCGCTATACAGTCTTATCAAAATATAAATCTATGTCCCGAAATTTGTCAAGCAAATATACATGAATTTAAAAACGTTAAATAAACTGGTTAAAATCATAAACTCATTTTATTTAAAATATATGATACATAAATTAATCCCAAACTAAATATACATATTAATTATATCATGAAAATAATAAGATTATCAGCAAGACCATTTACTTTTGTTTATGAGATATTATATTATGTAACTTAGCATCCTCTATAATTAAAGTATGTCACTTAGCATCCTCCATAATTAAATTAAATTATGTCACTTAGAATCCTCCATAATTTACTTAGACTTTTCAGTTAACCTGATGAATATTTATGAGAGTTTCTCAAATTTAAAAATGTTGAAAGTGTGACAGCATATTTTCTTTTTGCTTATAAATATTTGTTTTAAAATAAAATCCTTGCCTTAATAAAGTCCATCGAAGGACGAAACGTCTCAACTGAGAAAGGGTTTACATTTGTCTTTATGAATATTGTCCTTTTGCATATATTCATATTTTA